TGACGCGGCCGCAGCACGCCCCGAGTTGCGCGGAGTGCGAGGGCCCGCCCAACGCTGCTTGCAGCTTTAATTATTTTTGTTATGTAAATGAATGGGACATGGTGTTATTTCACTTATCCTTTGTATTTGAATACTTACTTGTTTCACTGTTGTAATCACTTGGAGTGCTTTTAATGTCAATCTTATATGCATTATTTTTTCCACTAATTATATGGTTTAATTATGTTCCCTTAGTTTAATAGTATTTAATGGTTGACTGATTATGAAGCTGTTTCTACTTTAAACAGTGCTGTTGTACAACTTCATTGACAAATAATAAGTCGTAGTATGACGGTAAGTGGGCCTGCGCTCTTGGTGGAACATGTTCTTTCAGGTACTCCGTCAAAACCAGTCAAACAAAATTCACAGATGTTGAGTGAGTTCGAGCGCGTGTTTAACAGATGCAAAACCACAGTGTTATCTTCCCAACCATTGCGCAGTTGACAGAACAAAATACTGTGTTCACGTTACAAAGTAATCTACCTGGAATGTGCACTGGCCTATTGATTAGCCAATGTAGCATCTTGTTGGATTACGATGCATCTGTGTGACATGCGAGCTGTGCCAACAGTGACTTTATTCAAAATAAAAGAGGGGACAGTGTTTTTGACCCATAATGCATGGTGCAATAATAATGCATGGTTCAGGCAGTGTCAAAAAATTTTCACCACCAGATAAATCAAATCAAACCATCAGCAATTATCTGGAAACAAGATAAGGGCCGCTAATAATTCAAACTCTTTTAAAGAGCTGTAAGAAAAAACTGGTGCGTGTTAGAGGAGCTTTTGATTACAAGGTACATTTAAATTTTATAATGAGGGAAAGTGGTTGGTCACAGCAAGTGATCTGCGCTGTGAGTGAAGGGACAGCTCCACACTGAAAGAGAGGTCGACATTTTTTGTGCCTCCATGAAAGCAATCCTAACTATAACTATTTATCATTTAAACATTTTGGCACCCATCTCTTTTAAATAAAACACCCTGTTGTGAGCTAACTCACTGCAAAGAGCAAAGTTTTGAATATTCCACCATATCACAGTGGTAATGATGTTTGACACATCATAGTGGGTATGAAGTGTCAAACATCATTACAACAAAGCAATCAGAGACGCAGCCAGGAGAATGTCATCTCTCAACGGCTGACAGACGGTGAGCGGAGTGAACTGTGAAATCATTTGTCTGATTGTCTGGCAGCCAGGAGCAGGACTCAGCAACAATAACAACAAGCCCTGTGGTCAAATCTCCATTGCTCGTTAATAATCCTTCATATTACTGACTCTGCCTCCTGTGCTCACAGTGCACATCACCCTGCCTGCTATGTCTTTTCAAACAATGTGAGAAAAAGTTTTCTCCGGAAAAGAAAAAGGAATCTTTTGAGATTACAGATTGAGTTTGATGTGTGAATTGAAACCATTACATTACACTGCACACATGATGAATAACTCCATTATAATACTAAGCCTCCCCTTCAGTTAGTTTCCTTTCTGTCCTCGTACAGTTCCTAAAAACTCTTCTCGAAATTCTTTGTAATTTTCTAAACATTGTGTCCTTGATTTCATACAGAAGTAGACAAAAGCAGGCTCCTTAATTTTTAACCTGCATGATAAGCGTTGCTAGCATATTTTATCCTAGCTAGCTTGCTAATACTCATTTGCTGTTTTAAACTGTCTGGCTAACTCTTTTTGAAACAAGAACCCTGTAGAAGAGTCTTAAATATACACTTGATGGCTACGTACACAATATCGTGGGAAAAGGCTGAGACTGAAGCTGCATTTCCAAATAGATATTCAGCCACTTGATGACCCATCAACAAGCAGCATTGTTTTTGTACAGCAGGCTAGAGCTAGTTAGACCTAGCATAGCATACACTACTGTACAGTATAATGGGGTATATTTAAGATCAGCTGTTTTGTTCTGTCATAACCCCCTCTTTGGAGCTTACCAAAGCTATCGTAGTCATGAGATTCCAGTGTTAAAAGAGAAAAACCTTTAAAAGGACGATCATGTCTGTAGATAAAAATTACTCATTCTAAGGTAACGATTCCTATTTTCAGGTGATTATACACTAATAAAACATACCTATCAATATTATATTCCATTTCTGCCAATAGACCCTCCTAAATGTGACAGACTGGACCTTTAACGTCAATAAAACACAGAAGATGTCCCTGAGAGTTTTTTTAGTAGTCAGTTAATGATGTGCTGTTTGGCTGTAAGTCCTAAACTGCAGCTTCCTTTAGAGCAGACAAACACACAGGTTTTAAACTTGTGTTTTTGTTTTTGGAAAGGTTTTTAAAAACTCCTTCAAACGCTTTAGTTTCAAGTATGTCTCTTACTAGACGCCATACACACTGCTTCAACAGGAGAGCAGAGCCAAAGCTTGACAGACCTTCCGTTAAGGTTGCTAAGCAATGATTGGACAATTACTACTCGGAAGAGGGGTTTAGCGAATGATCAATTGAGAGTCTTGCAATTATTTTTCAATACACCAACTTGTACATTTAAGGGTAATTTTTGATTGACTTTCACCATATTATCTCAGTGGAACCAGTTAGTGTGAATCTATCCTTTGTCTGACATAAATAGGAAAAAGAAGTCACAACAGCGTGTCATTAATTACAGTCAGCGTGTGTACTCTACTTTGTAAAAAAAATAAAAAATTGAGAAAAAGTAATTTTCAAAGAGGATTTGAGTAACATCACGTCCTTCCCTCTTGCACATATTTGTTCAGGCAGAGCAGAAGGCTGGGTTTGTGATAATCCCTCAGCTTTTCAGTTTGTGGGTAGTAAGCAGGAGGTAAGTCTTGCGATTATAGTGCTTTTCAGCATGGAGAGTAAGAGCTTTGGGCCAAAAAAACAACAGTCAGAAATGTGGAAAGCCAGCACCCACCCACGTCTGGGCAGAGAGCGGCCCTCAAGAGGCACAGTGGTCAACAGTGCATGGGGCTTACCTGTCAAGAGTCTCATTGTGTCGAGAATGCAGTGGAGAGGAAACTAAGAGAAGCCAAAGAGGCCAAACAGCCAGAGAGGAAGAGAAAAATGGGTCTTTTGACAAGTGCTAGTGTTTTACTGAAAATGTAAGGATCAAAATCAAAGCCCCATGCTCAATCAGTTTTTCAAAGTGTCTCTTGAGGAAATCGGTCAGTTGAGGACTCTGGTTTAAAGTACAATCCATGCAGAATATGCACTCGTCTTTCCTCCCTCTTGTTGTCTTCCTAGTTCTCTAATTACTTATTTTTCTCTCAAAATAGTACCTATTGTGCACCAGCAAACATGGTTTCCCATCGATTCACATCACACTACTACTTCGATTTGATGTCAGCAACCTCTCTAGGAGACAATTTCAGTATGTTTTCCCACCTGTTTACAAGTCTGTCTTTTTAAATCAATTTGTTCCACTACACACTGTCATGACCCACAGCTCTGACCAGCGAATCAACTTCTTCCGGGCCCTGGATCACACTGGCATGACTTTATTATTCCTTCTGAGATGCATAAATAGCAGCGGTCCAATCTCTCTACCTCTACATGTCACAGCAGCCATTTACCGGTGTAATCAAATTATCAAAAGCCTGACTGAAGTGGAGAACAACAGGAGTTAAAAATGGGAAACAAAGAAAAGGAAAGTAGCAAAGACTTAGCGCTGTCTGAAAACGTAATGTCTCCTGGATGTGTAACATGATCACCATATCAACGTAAAAAGTGATGTCAGTGTTTACGTCTTGTTCTTCCCGCTGCCTCCAAACGACCAAAATAATGAGTTAATCCAGGTTTAACTCTAGTGTGCAGTAAATTTTGCGTACTTACTGGTGTAATCCCTGTAAATGTAGCTGTAACTTGTGCATTTATCAAATACAATGCATTGTGTGGTGGGATTGCTGGCAAAAACACATTCAAATCACTAAGTATATAATTAGTGGACAGAACTTCTGGGTCTGTGAAGTGAAGCTAACGAGGAAGTGTCTTAAAATCAGAATCAGAATCAGAAATACTTTAATAATCCCAGGGGGAAAATATTTTTGTTACAAACTCCAGATA